TTACGTCATTCGGCACCGTGCCGGTTTTATCGCGGATCTTCGATTGGTCATAACTTCTTCGTTATAACTCCGATTTCGATGCGGTTTTCACCTATATGTTTCTAACGAGATTATCTACAATTTTCAACAATAAAATTTTACTTATTTCAAGTTTTATATTTTCACTAAATTTCACTATTTAGCTTTTAATTGGAATCTCATAAGACTTCCAAAAATTTATGAGTGATTCTAAACATAGTTTTACCTTATTTCTAGTAAAAACTATCTGTTAGAACTCAATACTCAATATCACATAGTATTTCATAATATTATTTATATAAAACACGATCTCAAAACGTGTATGTTACACGTTCTCACATAGGTATAGGACGGTCGTGTCTATTTTAGGCTTATCGTCCTTTACCCCGATTGCATTGAAATAACATTCTACGGACCAGAAAAATTCTTCAAGAAGTTTAGGGTCACGCTTACCTCCGTACTTCAGGGGTTTAGGTGCATCGGCATGTGGCGTCATCTTTGTACTTGCTCCTCCAGCAATTGCGGCTTTGCACAAATTTACTTCGGCTTCTAGAGTAGCTACCTTCTCACGGAACTCATTCCGCAGGGTGTTAATAAGTCCAAGGACTTCTCCCTTGATGAGACCGATGGTATCCTTCAATCCATCGCTCGTGTCACTTATCTCGGCAATAAACTGATCGATGGTATCCTTCTATTCAAGGATCTCACCGACGTTAATCTCTGTCCTTGTAAGCTTGTTCTCTAAGCTTGCCAAGGCATCTATCGATTGGTCCCTCTTCCTGGACTTTCTTCCTTTCTCCTCGACGACAGGAGGCACGTTTACGACTTCACTACTTCCTCCTTCCGTAGCCATGATCTCTTGCTTATACGAACTCTGGCTCTGATACCACGTGTCACGGGATGCTTCAATCACCGTGTGCCACTTAGTGTTTTCTCCGACTAACTCAGGCTAACTTCGATGGCTTCGATGTATTAACGATTAAAGGAAGCAAGAGAAACGACAATAAACACTTCTAAGAAAAGAGCTTCTTTATACAACTTAACTTCTTACAAGAGAACTTCTTCGATGGTTTGGACAAATGAGTCCTCCCCCTATTTATATGCATCCTACACCTCCTCAAAGGGAAGTTTCTAGATTTCGTATATTCCTGAGTATTCTAGATCATTCTTACAAGATCCTTATCTATATACAAAGTTCTACACAATTCTATTCTATACTTTTGCATCCTAGAGAATTCTAGGTTGTTCTAGGGACTTATGGTAGATTATTACTTGTTCTACCATCTTCTTGATCGGTCTGGAAGATTCTAGAACACCGACTCGTGACAGGTTGCCAAAGATACACTTGGGATGTCAACAATGAAGATAATGTTGAGATAAATTGTGATAAACACACAATAAAGATGTGAAGAAAAAAAAATTAAGAACACAAGGAAATACATGGTTCACACAATCAGAGTAATCATGCTAATCCACATGCGAATTTAGAAAGATTTTTATTAGATTTGTAGCCATCACATGTGCTTTTTGCTTAGGGTTACAAACATCACCATTCGGTTTGGCCCTTTGGTTTGAGCATCGTAACTTTGCAGCTCGCTACAACAGTTTTGTTGTGCCTTACACCTTGTTCCCGAGTTCAATTTAATAATGGAAAGAAATTGGTGGAAGTGAGAAGAAATTAAAAGAAATTAGTGTTCCCGAGTTTCACTAAAGGAATGAAGTGGAAGGAATGGAAGGATCATTTTCCCTCCTAATTTTCCTTTCGATTTGGAAGGATTTGGAGAGAAAGAACAAAATGTTTAATTTTCCTTCCACTTCTCTCCAACCTGGGAACACAAAATACAAACTTATTTTCCTTTCATGTCTCTTCTTTTCTCTCCTAATTTTCTTTTCTTTTCTTTTCTTTGCTACAACTCGGAAACTAGGCGTTAGAGTCGAGCACAACAACATAGTTACGACTTCACCACAAACCACACCACATCTTCACTAATTGGAGGGTGATCAACAAAATTTTCCTCAAGAGGAATATTAGCCTCCACAACTCAACAATTTCCGACTAACTAGAGGGTGATCAACCAATCTGCAGGTTGCAACCATCCAAACTTGAACTCTGTAAATCCCATATCTTCCTCTCTAGCCCTCACCGCCGGTTCAGGCCATACACAACTTCAAGTATTCTATTGTAATAGCAATGGTAAACATGTTTGGTGGATTCTTAGTACCAAGGATCTTCCTTAAGAACATAAAACCATCAGTTATTTATCTCTTATAAAATGACACCTCATTTGGATGTGTTTCGTTCTACTATGAAACACTGGATTCTTCGCGAGATGAACTGCACATTGGTTATCAAAATACATGACACAAGCTTCTTGTTTCATGCCCAACTCTGATAGAGGTTATTCAACCAAAGGACATATCAAACTCCACAACTCAACATGAAAATGGGCATAAAGAATCGTGGTAGTGGAACAAGAAGGTCCAATCTAAGGTTAAGTTAAAACAAACTTCCTTACGTAGCTTTCCTCAATGTAACTATGGTTTCCAACTAGGTTCTTCATATATAGTGCCAAATCATATTAGTCGTTCCAAAAAATATAAAATTAAGTCACTTTTATGAGTTTTGATTAAGTAGTAAGGGTGTATGGTATCGTCACTCGTGGGTTATATGTGAAAAGAAAGCCACGTAGACTTTTTACCATTTCACAACCAACCACCAGGTTGTGGAAATGGTGTTCACCGGTGGGTTGGTGGTGATGAGGCAAAAAGAAGAGAGAGATAAAGAGAGATGATGCTGTTGCCATTTTTCTATTGGCTGTCTTCCTCCGTCTCCATGGTCTCCATGGAGACGCCACAACCAAACCACCAGGGCTGGGAGCGGTGTTCACGTGTGGATTGCTATCCACTCCGGATAGGAAAGAGGCACAACTTCTTGTTGAACAAGTGCAAAGTGTGGCTTAACTACCGCTACAACAAACACTTGTTAAAATTAACACATGTGTAATTGTATATTGGGCACCTGCAACGAGTTCCTCAAAAAGATTAATGTTGTTGATTTCATGCATTGTGAGGTGTTTGGTTTCAGAAGAACAGATTCAACTAATTAAAAGAACTTTCGATACATATTTAGGTTTTTTCCTTTTATTCTTTTTCTTTTATTGGTTAAAAATGCAAAAGCTAGTGGCTTTATAATATTGACTCCTTGTAATGTTCTAAGTTATTGGGAACCACAAGCAACTACATTCGTTTTTAAGAAAAATCTGGCATAGATACACAACTTAAAAAAAGTCAAATAAAGTATTACCTCTTTTTTTGCTTCGAAACACCATTGCTCCAACTTTCTTAAACCGACTCTAAGATATTTCCCATTGCTGGAGGTACAACACTCTTGACGTAGAAGAAGACTGCAGAGTAAAGATAATTGCAAAAGAATAATTATAATAGGAAACTAAGAAACTGGCATAACAAAAAAAAGTGGAAGTTCAGTAACCACCTATTAAAGAGTTCTACATTGATATATGAGAAAATTTGAGCAAATATCTTCCGCACAATTATAGGAAGCACCTGAAATGCAACTACATGAGAAAATCTTGCAAAAGTTACCTTCTAAACAATTGCAATCCACTCTCATGGAATGCAGAAAGTTTAGGTGATGTTTTAATAAGGGTTGTGAAATGAACTTTTTTTACTTTATAATGCGACAATGTTTTGACTTGTTACTAGTTTATGCAATAAAATTCATCTCTTTTTCTATCAACAATAAAAATTATCTCTAACCAATATCGTTTAGTCACAAATTAAAATGTAGTTGTGAAATTTAATTGCATTAATTGGTAAAAAGTGAAACGCGGTTGCATTTCATAAGTATGTTAATATTTATATAATAAAGATGAGGCTATGGATAATGCACATACAAAATTTTCTTTCAATGTGTTGAGAAGAGTGTTGAGACGATCAATGATATGTTGCCAGTGACTGAATTGAGATTCATTGCCAATCGATTCTCCATATGTTGGCACTTCCTTGGACGTAAGTTGAGCCTGTATTTTCACAATTATAATATGGATACATTTATCATATGCAATATTGGAAATCAGTTGAATATATGATTATGAATGTATGGTTATGAACCAAAGTTTAACCTGAATGCACAAGGCAAGTAATGATCCCAACTCCTCCTTGAAGTTGTCACCCATAATTCCATACATTTTTTCTACATATACTGTTAGTTGCTTCTTAAAAACTAAAGTTGGGGATTTGGCTTCAACTTGTTGTAGTACCTTAAGTGCAGCCCTAGCCTCAGTCTCGACTCGGGACCCAACCTCATCCTCATCCTCATCCACAAACACAAATTCTTCATCAGTAAAGTTGATAGAAGACAAGGATGATAGAAATGCCTAGACATATAAATAGGAAACCATATCATGCATTGTTAGTTATGTATGTATGAAATAAAGTTCACAACAATAGCTATATAAGTTGAAAAGATATAACTAATGTTAGGATTTAAATCAATACCCTTGCTATTCTTCCAAACAATGAAGTAGATGCATTTGGAGATGGTGGTTTCCAAACTGAACTTGCACCATCAAGTTTTAGACTTTTATGGATTAAGAATAATAGAGTAGATGCATTGGATAACCAATATGCGATCTGATCATTATCATCTTGATCCTGCAATAGATGAATTGTGATTACAATTGAAATAATCTAAAAGATAATGTAATCATTTAGTTGTAAGCTGAAAAACAAGGGAATGAATACTGAGAGTACATAAAATAAGGATGACTCAGTTAAAGAAATCTCAATGTAGTTGTAATTCTACTCATTATTTAACCCCAAGGAAAAAAATCCACCCACAAACACAAAGACAACAAGAGGGCTAACTGAAAACAGTTTGCAGATATGCTCTCACATGAAAAAATAAGAATTTTCTCATGTGTTTTGTTCCTAATTAAAGAAATTTAGTATGTACTAAATTCCTAGCTAAGTTGCAACGGGAAACGGATACGGAACGGAAACGGGAAACGGCAAAACTCAAAAATTCAAGATACGGATCCGGCAAAGATACGACAATATAAAAATATGAAAAAACATATATATATATATATATATATATATATATATATATATAT